AAGTCTTGTTCTATTTAATAACCCCTCCTCCATTTTTTTAAATTTAAACACTAATTATCTCACTTGAACCGAAATGATGATCTCATACAGGAGCCATGCCACAGTACAGTTGGCTATGATTTATTTTTATATATATATATATATATATATATGATTTATACAAATATGACTTATATATATATATATATATATATATATATATATATATATATATATATATATATATATATATATATATATATATATGGGATATGATATGTTTTTAGCCACCCTTGATTACAGTAATTTTGACTTATGTAATAACGTCTCTTCCTTTTTTTCAGACAATACCGTATTAGTACCAAGCGACTCTCATCTATGAACGATTTGCAATGAAAGCTTGCGGAAGTAAGGAAATTGGTGAATTTCAACGAGGGCAAATAATAGGATGGCATTAGTGTGGCAAGTCAAATAGAGAAATTGCTAGGTTTTTCCAGATTAATCATCAAACTGTTAATAATATTGTCAAGAAATTTAATGAAGAAGGCCATTTTCGTGTGGAACAACGTTCAGGAAGACCAAGCATTGTGTCTGAGCGAACAAAAAGTGTGCTGAAGCGGAAAGTCATCAGAAACCCTCGTCAGAGCGTCAAAGATGTCGCCAACAGCATGGAAATGTCGCCATATGCGGTGAGAAAGACTCTGAAAGAAAGAAGCTCTTGAAATCTTGAGGAAAAGAGCAATACCCGAGAAAGGGAGACACCGTGGAATAACGGATAGCTGCTCGGATTGAGGAATCGGAGAGCCGAGTTCAAATTCCAGTCGAATCTATTACATTCACTTAACTGCTAATAACCTTGGGAAAGGTATGAGTCCTTTTCCCCGCTACGGGTTGGATGGCAACTGGTCTACAGAAAAAAATCAACCTACTGCGGGGAAAAAGTTTGCTTCGTCAGTCATGTATCACGTATTGCACATAACTGACTGACCCGGAAAAATTTCACGGTTTTCCCATTTGAATTTTCTGAGGAATTCTAAATTTAATGATTGAATAGGGTCATTGCAAATTGCAATACATTAAAATACCCGTAAAACTCCACTAATTTTGAACCAACTTTTTACCTTTTTCGATCGACGCAAAAACGCTTCGGTGGTGTAAACCTTCTTTCCTGAACACCGAATTCACCGAAAAGTCTTTACACCAAAACCTGCAGAATTCTACTCAAAGGATATCAAAGAGCTGCCTTGATAAATGGCAGTAAGTCGTTGTAAATGATGGTGAATATTCGTTTAATCATTTCACCCTAAGCAAGGCAATAAAGCCACTACGCAGCAAAGAATTACAGGGTGTCAGAAAATATGAGGAAAAATCTATTAAGAAGAGTTCGTCTGAGGTCTTAATGACTGGAAATACAGAAGAGGATTTCTAATAAGCATGAAAGCAAGAAACAGTAAGGCATTTATTGTAGAGTTTACAGAGAAAAGGAGACAGTTGAGGAGCATTTATTAAGGACTATTGCAGGGATGTCATCAAGTCTACGCGTTTTGTAAGGATCTAATAAAGACGTACTAGTAACCATTGGCCGAATTATATGTATAGCAAAATATATCACTGAATAAAATATAATTGTACTTGTTTTTTGTTGTTGTTTTTTTTAAATAAAACAAAAGTTGATACTCAGAAAAACAAGGAAGTTATTTATGATTCCACGTATTATCTAATGCATAACATTACTTTAACTTGTGTCGTTAAAAAAAATGCGTTAAAAACGACAAAATAACCTGCGGAAATTGTTCTGTTATTTTTTTTTTTTTTTTTACAGAGCAGCGAACCTGCTGACAACAGGGCGGATGTTTTGAAGAAAGTCGGGTTTAATCATCCACCCTACTCATCCGATCCCCAACGCTGCATCACAGGCTGAATGAACGACAACGGATGTTAGCAGGTCAACTGGCTGCTATGCCTCTCTGTGTGGTGGCATGTACCTCTGCTGAAATCAGGGCAAACAAAGGTATGTGAGAGTGGAAGGCTTGGACGACCACAAGAACCTGTGAGTTCTTGACTGTTGCAACTGTACTGTCTTAGTACTTTACTGTCTTTAAAACTTAAACAAAAACGATCCATCACTGACAGAATTCCACACTGATAGGGTCCAGTTTTCCTTGAGCTTTGCAATAGGTCTAGTCTCTGCTAGTCTGATAATCTGTCTGATATTTTTTTAAAGATCTCACTGAACTGCTGGGAATTTTATTTAGAGAAGTTATGAACTTATACCAAGAGAAAACAATCAGCATACAAATAAAAAATGAATTGAGCACACAAAATGTAAAGGGGTCGTAAGGCAAGGATGTTTCGTCTCACCGGATTTGTTAAACTTTCACAGCCATCCTAAGAGAACCAGAAAATTTACCTGAATTTAGTATCGGCAGGAACAATAAGATATGCAACTGACACCGTGCTAAAGGCAGATATAGAAAGAAAACTGCAGGAACTATAAGGTAGCAAAGGAAAGTAAGAAGAAAGGACTAACTATCAATTGTAAAAAAAAAAAAAAAAACAATATTTGTATAGTTGTCAGCAAGGAAAACAGCTCAATTTGCGAATTAGAGATGCCAAAAACAAGCAAGTACGAAAATTTAAATATCTAGGAAGGGTTTGAACAGATGACGAAAAATGTGAAAATGAAACCAAAAGGCATATTGGAATAGCAAATGAAGCCTTGAGAAAATAAAGCAAAGTATTAAGAAACAGGAAGGCGTCGTTAGAAACAAAGAAAAAGTACGGAACTATGTAATATCTGTTCACCTAGAATGTGAGACAATTTCCCAAAAGGAAGAGGTAACGTGGTTCTACCGAAGAATTCTGAAAATATCACGAACAAAGCATAAAAGAAACGTGAGAATCTTAAGGAAAATAGAAACAAAAAGATCATTTATAGTTACAATCAGAACGAGTCAATTGAAAGAAGGCTTTGAGAATTTGTTCCTCCCAGGACAGTAAAGGTAAAAGGAAACGAGAAACGCTGAGTCACCCACCTAACAAGCTTGTGTAAATGGACAGCAGAACAGGGAATAACAAAGATAGTAAAAAGACAAACGCTGCTGTAGTAACTGGTCATGGTTAAATGTAAACAAACACAACTGACAAAGTCTACAATTGTTGTAGCATACCTACGGACAATAATGGATATGTCCCCCTTCACATAAATACAGTAGTTAATACTGTATGTTGGTCTGCAGTTGGAGATTCGTCTCCAGCTGTGCAGGTCAAACTCTCTGCCTCCGGACAGAGAGGATCCCCAGACGAGGCTATGTCGAAGGGTAGAGTCTCGTCTCGGAAAACAGCTACCTGACCCCGTTTTATACAGAGTCTACGGGGAATTTTTGACCGAGCCTATGGGCTCGGATACCCCACATTAAATTCAGCCTTGTGCCATATCTGACCGCGTGGGGCGGTTGGTAGATATCCTTCAGTTGGAGATTCATTGTGGAATTCACTTGACTCACTTGTAGCAGTTGACTGCATCTTCTACGCGCTGCTGGCGAATCTTATATGTGTTGTTCTTGTCCTAAGTATTATCATTCATTACCAACGTTTGTGTGATTATTCTACTCAGTAATCTTCCCTAGATTAAAACAACAATAAATAATAACAAGAGAAAGAAAAGAAAAGAATAGGGTAAAATAATGCTGAGCAAACCATCAAGTCCACATGCTTTAGTAAGAAGGATTGAGGAAAAGGACAATAAAGGAACAGGGTTCAAAAGATGGCGATTGATGTAGCATTTAAATTTCTGAAAATTGTAGTTAAAAGAGAAGCAAGAAATCGGAAGGGATTTCCACAGGGGAGAAAAGAATCTGTTAGAGTAGAAGTGGCGGTTTGCATTTACATAGTTCAACATTAAAAAAAAAGTGAGACCTAGTTACCAATCTAGTAGCACGCTTAAATCCATGTAGTAGTGGCACCATGAGAAAATAAAGTTCATAAGAACAGTTGCTATCGAAATATTTGTAGAAAAGACAGAGGGAAGCCAGGTTTCGTCGGCGAGAAAGTGATTGAAGTCGAGATGCCGTGCCAACATCGATTAAATGTACAGTTTGTCAAGAATCTCGAAATGTACAGCAGATGCACCAAGCAAGATATGCCAACTTTTATCACAGCAGTGGTGCACGGACGAAGGTTAGATTTATAAATGTGCAAGATGGATACTGACATGAAAGATTTTCTGGCACGATACAGTTAACCAACATTCCTAGCGGTAGACATAGCAACTGATTTGATATAGTCACTCCATGTCAGTGGAAAACCTATGAACAAGAATGTTAGAGTGCTGCTCTCCTGAAGGTTAGCATCAGCCATGCTGGTGGCAGGCAGAAAAGGTTCTTTGTGGTTATTAAATAAATGCAGTTTTGTTTTGGAAGCGTTAAAATTGCTACGAATGGCGCCTAAAATTTATGCTCTGTGAGAACCAAACCTTTCAGATCTTGAAGAAATAAGAGATACATTTCTCCTCAGCACAGCATAATAACGACACATAAGGAGGACGCTGTGCGCAGCCTTGGTAGCTGAATAGACAACTTGAATGACTCAGTCTTATTAAGACGAGCTCAAAATACGATCGTTATTAATTTTACTGGCGCACCTTGGGTTTCTCTGTTGTATTCTGCGGTCTAGATAAGGAAGTAAGTCGTCAGTTTGATTGCTGTTGCTTCAAGACATTTCGCTGACGCCGAAGTGTAAATGACCGCGCGTTTATGATTGCGTATGCAAGGGTGTGAGCTTCCTTGTGCCTGTGAACTAAATTATTTGGTCTGTGGTGCCAGGCTAACATATCACGTAGACCACTGCTGTGAACCTGATCACCACTCGGTGCCTTCGTAAGCAAAGCTTAGTAAATAAATAGAGTAACTGCCGTAATGCAGAACATTTAGACTTTTGCTGTTTGAGGGAAGTCGAGCCACACTGAGTGCCCTATTCTTACGTGCTGGATTAAACTAGGCTTCGTAAATATGTAGGGCCGACAGCCAATACAGTATTGAAACACCAGTTCTACGATCGCCGAAGTTAAGCAACGTCGAGCCTGGTCAGTACCAAGATGGATCACCACATGGGAATACTAGAGGCTGTTAGCTTGGATGTACGAGCGGTGTAATGGATAATCGCTTAGAATGGAGATTATCAGTTCTAGTTGGGTTCGTTATATTCACTTATGGGGAAATACGCTTAGGAAAGCTGTGCATTGTAACCCCCCAATTATGGGTTAATTAGTAGGACGTGTATCAGTAAATCATTATTATCTGCAAAAACCCTTACAAACTAAAAATATTTTCTGTCTTTAAATAAACTGCAAAAAAAACCCAAACCAATCAATCAATCGTGAATATGTAAAACGTTTCCCCTTAGCGGGTTAACTTGACAAATAGGCTATTTGTTGGTATAACAATGAATTCGATATTTATTGAGGATCTCACCAACTTCGGCCTTATGCCAGACTTATTTTCATTCTTGGACCTATATTCTTACAGCTACTGAGATATTCAGTAGCAAGTAAGTTGCAACTCTTCAGACATTCACAGCGAGAACAAGTCATGCTGTTTACACGGAGTCGAATCACCCTCATTTCCTCCGTGTTCTAAAGGAAAATTCTACTCGAAATTGCCACTTTGTGGAATAGATTCCTGTGTGGATGCTTCCCTGAATGCTAGAGTTCTAACCTCTTCAAATTCAAGAATCAGGTGTGACCTGTCCTCTTCACCCTAATAATCTTTACTTCCTAACGCCTCCTTTCATTTATATCACACTACTCATTTATCACTGACACCTGGAAAACCAATCCTAAACACGAAACAAGGCATACAATTTCTACTCCTGGTTTCCTGAACATGAGTAGAGGTTTATCTCTTGTTTGCTGTTTAGGATTGGAGTTCCGGTTTCTTCTAAAGTTTTTTTCTTCACTTTCACTTCCATTATACCCTTGCGTCTTAGTGGCATTATACCCTTGCTGGGGTAAATTAATTAAAAAAAGCCTTGTATTGAGTAAATTAGGGCATAAAAAGGTGTATTATCTGTGTATTGCTTCGAATCCTAGGGAAATATAATGAAGTAAAATAATCATTTTTTCTCCTAGACGGGCTTAAAACCAAGGCAGAGAGCCCATGCAAATATAGCAAATATTATGAGACAGAGGTAATATTACATTTTGATTAGTTTCTTCTCCTGATTGTATTTTTTTTATTGTTGTTTTTTTTTTTTTTTAGATGTGCAAATGACAGTGTTGATAGTAGACACAGAAAGGAAACTACTGGATATCCCACAGAAGATAGTAAAGGAAGAGACTAACAATCAACTGCAAGAAAAGAGAATATATGGTTGTCAGAAAAGGGAAGCGATCAACATGCAAATTACAAATTGGAGATACCAAAATCAAACAAGTACCACGATTTCAATGTCTGGGAAGTGTTTTAACAGAGGACAGAAAGTGTGACACCGAAATCCGAAGGCGCACTGGGGTAACAAAGATTACTTCAAAAAGCTAAACAAAATATTAAGAAACAGGAAAATGTCAATAGACCCAAAGAAAAGAGTACTGAGCTGTTACATAATATCACTCTTCCTATATGGTAGTGAATGCAGGTCAGTCTCCTCATGGATGAAGAAGAGATTTGAAGCAACAGAAATGTAGTTATACAGAAGGATGCTAAGAATACCATGAGTCGAACATGTGATTAACGACGGAGTTTATGAGAAAAGGGAAACAAAAAGGACAATTCCACTTAACATCAGAAAGGGACAGTAAAAATTTCTAGAACGCATAATGAGAAAAGAGGGCTTAGAAAAGTTGACACTCACAGATGAATAACCTACCTAACGAGCTTGTGTAAATGGTTTGGCAGAACAGTGTTTAGGAAAGATTGCAAATAGACAAAGTTTAAGAAGAGCTACAGGAAACTGTGGAGAACCATGATCGCATAAGTCCTGAAGTGACATGGCACATAGAAAAAGATTGTTGTTTATATTAAAAGTATAATGTATTAAAAGCTTCTGTTGCACTAATAAAAAATTGCTCGATCGTGTTCAGATCTCTGAGCTTTTTTGCTAATGTTAATTTACTTGCATAATCAGGAATGACATCAAAGTTCTATATTTTCTATTTATTTCTTTATATCGACAAGAAGCTGCATAAAGTTACATTTCGGAAAAAAAAATAGAGTAACAAAAGTTGGAAAATCATTGGAGAGCGATGATCGCTCACGTCCTGAGAGGACATGGCATATGAAAGAATATAATAGCCTTGTTGTGTCAATAAATCAAATTTCAAAGATCTCACTCCTACTTTCTCCCCACGCTCACTCTCTCTCTCTCTCTCACTCATTTTCTGTTTTCCTCCCTTTCTCTTTCTTGCTTTCTGTTTCGTTCTCATTTTATCCACTCTCTCTTTCTCCCACGGTCTTTTTCGCTATCTTTCCTACTTCTTTGTTTGTTTGTTTCTTTATTTATTTTTTTCTTTTTTTCTTTCTTTGTCTCTCTCTTTCTATCGTTTTTCTTTGTTTCTTACTCTCTTTCTGCTTCTTTTTCATCTACTTCTCCCTCTCTCTTTCCCTCTCTCTCTCTCTCTCATCCCCCTCTCTCTCTATCGCTCTCTCGCTTCCTCTTTTTGTCTTTCTTGCTTTCTGTTTCTTTTGCATTTTATTTTCTCTTTCTCCTATTCTCTTTTCCTCTCTTTCCTTTCCTCATTCTTTCTTTCTTTCTGTTTCTCCCCTTTTTTTTCTTTTTATCTCCCCTTTTTTTTCTTTTTATCTCTACTTTGTTTCTTTCTCTCTCTCTCTATCTTTCTCTTTTTCTGCTTTCCCCTCTTTCTTGTTTTCTGTTCCTTTCTTATTTTCTTTTCTCTCTTTCTCCTATTCCCCTTTTCTTCTCTTTCTTTCTCCCATTCCTTCTTTCTTTCTGTATCTCCTTTTATTTTTCTCTTTCTTTGTCTCTCTCTTTATCAATCCTTTTTTTCTTTGTTTGTCTCTTTCTTTCTTTTTATCTCTCTCTCTCTCTCTGTCTGTCTGTCTGTCTGTCTCTCTCCCGAATGTGTTGCAAGAAGATTAAATTAACCATTGTGTAGATTAATGACACTGTCAACAGATATCTCTGTTTTTAAACAAAGCCTTTATTAAGTGATCGAAACAGTTCAGGAATATGTTGATAACAAAGGAAAAAAGGCGCCACTATTTTCAACGAACGAAGTACCTCAATTTGCGAAGAACACAAAGCTACCATTGAGCAAACCATGGCTAACATAGCATATGTAAAACCATTGTTACCGCTGTGAATTCTATCTACACCAGGTGCCCTACTAAGCAGCGTCACGTTTCGTAAATATGTAGAAAACGCGATTGAATGAAAAGTTCTCAATCGGACCAAGAACAGAATAACTTGGATCCATGAAATATACGAAGGTAGGAAAAATTACCAGCGACAGGTTCAGATCTTTTTTGGAAGAACTTCTCCCTGATTGACTATGTTTTTCAGTGGTGCATCCGTATTCAACACGCTTGACCAATTGTGGGTTGGTGAGGTTATTTTACGCATAGTTGGTGATTTTGAATTCAGAGTTGTCCTTCTCCTAAACTGGTCACCACCCAGGGCTATGGAACCCTCTATGTCCTACGATTTACCCATAAATGTAAAAAAAAATCTTCAACAAATTCATCTCGCTGTTCATACACAAGTTACACATCTTTTTTTTTTAAATTAGCCCTTTAAAAAATATATTGTTTAGTCACTCTTCACTACTACTTCACCATCATTATCATCATCATCCTTCGAGCTCCCTATGGTTGGTCAGAACTCCATTGACAATCCCTTTCCACTCCGTGTCAGTCCTGTATCGCTGTCCCCAGATCCCCAATGTCCAACAATGATTCCCGAGCTATGGTGTCTGGGAAAGTCAATTTTCGGGAGAAGACACTTCTAGAAGGATACCATAGGAGTAAGGATGAGACGATTTCCCTGTCCGCTCGGTGCCAGTGGCCGGCAAACTCTAATCGTTTTTGTTTGATCTTAAGAGAGATTTGTCACAGTTCTCCGTAAATTGTATTATGTGCGTTGCATGGGACCTCCAACTGATGACTGGGATTTTTATGAGTATATTTGCACATCTTCCATCCAGTCGTCTTTCGAGATGAGCAGATAATGTCCAAGTTTCTGATCCATACATTAGGACTGATTCAATCAATATTCGAAAGGTTTCGATTTTTAAGGAGGGTGGAAGGTCCGATCTCCAAATCTTGTGAAGTTTGTTACACGCATCCCATGCGAGAACTCTGTTGATGTTGAAGTCTTTTTGGGAATCTATTATGTGAGATCCAATATATTTGAAGTCCTCAACTCTTTTGATCGATGTATTACTGAATGACTTCAACTCTAATGGTTCAGGCGAGGTTGTGACATATTCTGTATTACGTTGCAATAACGACCTATCAGGTTCTTTGCTTGCTGACTGCTTAAACAGACTTGTCCACTCGAAGAAAATTGGGAAATATTTTTTTAGAAATAATTTTTATAGACTAGTATTCATTAGATCCTCTTCGAACGGCGACATTTGTCAGCATCAAGTTATATTGATTTTCTATCGATTTAGAATGGAGGACATATTCATAAAATCGATATAGTGTCAATTCGTTCCCAGACTTTTACAGCGTTATTACATTTAGTTGTTTCGTGTACGACAATAGACTTTTTCGAGTGGGTTACAAAAAATATATTTTAAGTAAAGAACAAACGAATATATAGATTTTTATTTCGGACCAAAAATTTACATAAATTAATAAAAGTATGTATTCTTTTTTTTTTTTCTTCATTTATGATAAATAATTATTTAAGGTAAATAATTATTTAAGATAAATAATTATGTAAATAATTATTGAAGCTAAATAATTATTTAAGATAAATAATTATTTAAGCTAAATAATTATTGAAGCTAGATAATTATTTAAGATAAGTAATTATTTAAGATAAATAATTATTTAAGATAAATAATTATTGAAGATAAATAATTATTTAAGATAATTTAAGATTATTTAAGATAAATAATTATTTAAAGTAAATAATTATTTAAGATAAATAATCATTTAAAAGTAAATAATTATTACCCTCAAAAGTAAATAATTATTACCTCAAAAGTAAATAATTATTACACTCAAAAGTAAATAATTATTACCCTCAAAAGTAAATAATTATTTAAAGTAAATAATTATTACCCTCAAAAGTAAATAATTATTACCCTCAAAAGTAAATAATTATTTAAAGTAAATAATTATTACCTTCAAAAGTAAATAATTATTACCCTCAAAAGTAAATAATTATTACCCTCAAAAGTAAATAATTATTTAAAGTAAATAATTATTACCCTAAAAGTAAATAATTATTACCCTCAAAAGTAAATAATTATTTATAGTAAATAATTATTACCTTCAAAAGTAAATAATTATTACCCTCAAATGCTTGTTCTTGCGCTTTCGAAAAACATCATATACGAAAACAATGTTTTTTTTTTTTTAATTTAAGGTTTTAAAAAAAGGTTAAAATGATATGCAGATATCAATGATGTTACTACATTTTCAGACTTGACATTTGTAAATAACAGTTTAACTCCAATAACCCTATAAGAATCAGAGACCTATTTTACACTCTTTCGATATTATGATCAGGATTCCCCTTCTAAAATGATAAAAATAAATATTTTTCACTTCTGACTAAGGTCAAGGTCTGGGGATTGTATTATGTATGCCAATTTTTTGTTTTAATTATTTCACCTCAAGCAAGGCAATAAAGTCATTAAGACGCAAGGCTGGCTGAATGTTAATGGAAAAAAACACTATTAAGGATAGAGAACGATAAAAAAACAAGGATTAAGAAAACTGTAGATAACGATTGACATTATATTTAAATTTTTGAAGATCAAATTTGATTAAGAAGCAAGAAACCAGAAGAAAGCGCCGTACACGGTAAGTGAGATAGAAGAAACGGTTAGCATAGAACTTATATTCAATCTACAAAAATGATTTCCCAAAAATGTTTTTCTTATTATTTACGAGTGGAATAGAGGGGCATAAGGCAAGGATGCCTCTTCCCACCCGACCTGTTCAACTTTTACAGCGAGTCAATTCTGGGAGAATTGGAAACCCAACCGGGATTTAGCATTGGCGGCCACAATCTTAACCCTAGAACACTAATCATGGATATATAGTACCCAGCGCAAATTTTCCTATTTTTAATTACAATTTTCAGTACCTGATTTTCTTACCTAAATAATGTTTTGCAGTTCCTATTAATGTTAACTCAAAGTACAAAGTTTGAATTGCCCACATGTAAAATATTTCAAATAAAGATTTATATTCAATTTTTTTTTTTTTTTTTTGATATTTTCAAAATCGGGTATCATATACCCATGGTGTAACTTTAACTGATGGTTAGTGTTCTAGGGTTAACAACATAAGATACGCAGATGACACAGTACTGATAGCAGAAACGGAAAAGAAATTACAAAATATCCTACAGAAGGTGGCGAAGGAGAGTGAGAAAAAAGGACTTAGCATAAACTACAAGAAAACAGAATGCATGGTCATCAGTAAAAGGATGAGCCCGAAATGTGATTTGCAGGTCGGGAACACTAGAATCAAGCAGAAGTTTAAATATCTGGGAGGCCTTCTGACAGAATGCGACACTGAGATCCGTAGATGTATTGGGATGGCCAAGGACGCATTCCAAACGCTAGGCAGAGTATTGCGAGACAGGGGGATTTCTTTGGGTAACAAAGAAAAGAATTCCCGAGCTGTTACGTGACATCTGTCCTTATTTACGGAAGCGAATGTTAGACGATTTCCTCAAAGATGAAGAAGTGACTCGATGCGACGGAGATGTCGTTCTACAGAAGGATATTAAGGATATCATGGACCAAGCGTGTGAGCAACGATGAGGTCTTAGAGAAGGTGCAAACAAGGGGAAGGCTTATATTTAACATCAATAAAAGGCAGCTGAAGTTTCTGAGACACTTAATGAGGAAGGAGGACCTAAAGAATCTGATACTCACAGGTCCAATAGACGGAAAGAGAGACAAGGGAATTGCAGCGGGTGACATACCTGGCGAGCTTGAGCAGGTGGATGAGAGAACGTTGTCTGGGGGAGGGAGCAGAGGGATGGAACTTGCTGAGAGCTGAAAGGGATAGAAGGATGTGGAGAGCCATGGTCGCCTACGTCCTGAAAGGACATGGCACATAAAAAGAAAGAAAGAAGTTGAAATACTGTTACGATTCTGCTGCTGCTGCTGCTGCTATCACCTCCAAATCATTTGTAGATTTCCTCTGTTTCGTTCCAACATTATATGCAAATCTATAAAATGATAATAATTATGAAACTAATAATCTTGAACTCTTCAAATATCAATCAAATAGGTGCCCGGAATATCGCAAAATCTACGATCCTAATATCATCATCATCATCATTAACAGTCCGAATGTTGTCGTAGGATCTTTGCGCTGCCAAATACTTTGGTTGAAAGCCGGAGTGTTATACATTCATGTTCAGCGGGTAAGTAAACTATGATTCCATCGGGTGGATGTACCCACAACAATCCCCCACCCCCGCGGCTTCATAGCCCTCCAAGCACCGATGACGTGTCATCATAGCATATAGTTATAGAGTTCAGTCTACTCCATTCTGCGAGATGGCTGTTGACCCTACAAGTTCAGTGACCTTTTGACAGCTCATGTTATTAATCCCGCTGTGTGTCCAGCCACCCTCGACAGAAAACCCTGGTGATGGAACCTATTTTTTTTTAAGCGTTTCACCCCAAGCAAGGCGGGAAGCCACTAGGACGCAAGGGGTTACAGAAGATTTGAAGCAAGATCAGATAGGACTGATAGAGTAAAGGATAAGAAGAAGGATAGTGGATAGATCAAAATAACTGGAGATATCGATTGACATTGCATTTGAATAGTTGGAGATTATAGCTCTCAGGGAAACAGGAATTGGGAAGGGAGTTCCACAGGCGAGAGGTGCGAGACATTAAGCTATTGGAGTAGAAGAGACGGCTACATTTAGGAGTT